TTGGGGGCCTGTGTATAAATTTTAACAAGTTGCGCTTATCTGTTACGCGAAGAAACACGGTCGCTAGTTTGTTTCGTAAAAGCTTGATAAAAGTTACAACTGATTCAACAGACGCTATCAGAAACGATTAACCCGGCTGGCCCTACCTTACATAATTTTGATATAGGCCAATAATTACAGTCTTTGCGCTTAGGCTATCGACCTCTAATCCTCCTACAATCTTGTACGATTTCTGTCGCGTAGCGTATAGAGAGTGCGTCGCGCTAGAGGAACGAGTCGTATCACCTCATTCGGTGAAAATAGAACAATGGGTTTATATGAAAACCCTTGTTGCATAAGAATGTTTATCTTTCTATTACCTCACTTTCTAATTTCCCATCGTATCACTCGGTGAAAATAGAACAATGGGTTTATGTACAAATTTGTATTGCATAAGAATGTTTATCTTTCTATTCTTTCTATTATCTTTCTATTTTTATACATATAATTACAACAACGCACCGCCAAAGTGTAATTGTTGTTTTTTTTTTTTTTTTAGTTTAAGTAGAATCGTTTGTTCTTCATTGATTTATACGGACAGCTTTTATATAGTATAGCGTGTACAAAAATATATGGAGGACTAGCTGTGCCTCGCGTTTTCACGGTAAATTGAATATATTAAAAAACAACTATTTCATTTTTTCCTCGCTGAATAAAAATTTGATTACATTGCTGCTAGCAATATAAATAATATGCAACGTAATCCAGTTCAAGTTTTATTTATGGTGAAATAAAAATAAATTAATTAATGAGTGTTTGTCAGTAAAAAGAATGTTCGGAATTCTTATCACGAGATTACCTTAAAGTATTATTAGTCTTATATGTTTAAAGAAGTTCTTTGAGCGTAAAGGGATAAAAAAAATGTTTGTTCTTTTGCTCGTGTTAAAACTACTAAATTAAAAGCTTCAATAATGGTTGACATTAAGGGATTAGTTTTTATTGTTGTCAAGCTTATAATAACTTTAAGCGAGTTGCTAATCGATTATCGTGGTTGGCGTTGATGGATGCGTGCAGCAACGAACATTCGATTTAACAATGAAGGAATATTTTTAGCCCCCGTTCGTAATTTACCATGCGTAATCAAAGCATAAAGTTGTTAATATTAAATAACAATGAAAATGACACTTGTAGGATAAAAATTGTAAATTGTATCATTTATATATATTTTTTGAATTATTATGTACATTGAAGAGTAAATTAAGTACTATTTCTTTTTAATAGCAAAAAATCTAAATTTAAAATTCATATTGAAACGTATACTGCAAGGATGTAATAGTCGTCAAATGATGAAATTATCATAATACTCGTATAATAATCGTTTAATCAAGTGTACCTTCAATATTGTGGCTTTAAAAGAATCTACATACATATATAGTTTCCACAAGCTCGAATGAAGCAGCGCTAGCTGTAGTTGAACTTAAAACATTTCCGTGACCTATCGGTTTTATAATTACTTCCACATTCTGCCTTTATAATTATAGAGATAAGGTATTCAAAGACCGCAATGAGAATGAAAAAAAAGCGCAAGCCTACATTTACAGTATACGATCATTGTACGCACGTGTAAATTAAAAAATAATTCCACTGCCCCTTGGGAAATCTTAAAAAAATCTTTTATCGTCGTTTATCATTGTAGAATTGTTGTCTCTTGTTAGAATAATGATAGTGATAATAATTGGACTGCAGATTTTTATGTATTTATAGAAAATGTGAATGCGCAAGAAATTAGAAAATGAGACACAGTGTTAGAACATTATAAAATACAGTATTATTGAAAGTAAAGTTTTATGACGTTTTAAAAGTATTATATAACTTTCGTAAAGTAAAATAAAGTCCTATTTAGGGTAAATTTTCAAAGGTACGTTTGCAAAGATTTTATTTTGCATAAAGATCTGTAGTCTAATAATAATAATAATAATAATATTTGCTGGTAAACGGAATACGAGGTTACAAATATAATTTCTGATCTTTTTGTTATATTTTAATTCTGGAAAGTCATTGATCCAACTTGCGACGTTATTTGTACTCGTTAGAAGGTTATCGAGTTTTTCTGACCGAAGACTAATTTTTCATTTACAGATGTGGGGTTTCGTGGAGCGAAGAACACGTATCCCTCGACTGCAGCGAGTGCGGTGGCTATTCCCTTCAACGGCCGTGCCCACTTTGCGACGGACGTTGCCACACCGTGTGGAAACGCGACCTTACCATGGTAAATATCTATTTTTTCCTTTAACCAGTATCTGTGCAACCTTGCAAACACTGCCAACAGAGTCTCGATCGATCCATTGTCTCCAAGCAGAGATAAGCAACAGTCTCGTCCAGATACAAATTTTGAATAACCGATAAAAGTAAAAAGAAACTTTATTCGCGCGTCGTTCGATCGATATTAGAATTTGAATTCCAAAATTATTATTAGTAAATGTTTACGAGTGTTGTCGTCTCTCGAGTCCGAAAGGTTGTGTATTATTCAAACATCCTCTATCTACCTACTTGAAAAAATTCTTACTTATTTACTAAACTCGGGAAAAAACGTTTCTACGTTTTTATGTTTTTATTTCGCAAAAACCTTGAAGCAACAGAAATAAACAACGTATAATCGTGAGCACTGTCAACCTTGGACACGTTTCCAAACGTTATCTTGAGAAGTAGGAATTATAATAACATTTATGACACTCTTATTATTCCTGGCACTTTTTGAGCATTCGAAAATATTTTCATAAAAACTGTACGTTTTTATAGTTTTACCGTTTTTGTTTTTCGTCTAGAATATAAACGTGGACGTTTATTATTCATTATTCGTTGGTAAGGCAAAAATCTGTTGTTATTTTGAAAACGCTACACGTTTAGCCGTTACCTCTAAGGACGACAGTTTGCGCTTATCGATTTCACGAGTGACATTTACAATATCCCCGTATTACCGCGAAGGCCATCTTAACAACTGCCTTGCTCGTGATAAGGTCGAACGAAGTCGGTTGTGCGAAATAGTCGATAAGAGCTGTACTTGATGTCAGCTTTCGGTAATACGTTTTTTATATTTTTTGATTAATCGATGAAATCCGAGATAGATCATAAAAATTAATCCGTCTACAGTAACATAAAGATACAAAAGTGTTCGTCCATTATGGGAACATTCGTTTAACTCGTTTAACAACGCAAAAAACAATCTCATAACGTGTATAATTATAGGAACGGTAAATTATTGAAATGATCACGGCTCTAACTAAAATATTTCTACCTGAAGAAGTTATTATTTATTTTATTATTATATTTTATTTCCATGTATACCATTATGGGTTTTTACATTAGTCCCCTTCCCTTGCAATACAGGGTGTCTAAAAAATGTTGTAACACCTTGAAAGAGGTGGTTCGGGAGGTGATTTGAAACAACTTTTTCCTTAGCGAAAATGTTGTAGGAGGCTTCGTTGAGGAGATATTAACGGAAAACACTGACCAATCAGAGCGTGCGTATACTGTTGGAGCGGCCGCGGTGGCGTATGAGCGCGGCCGCCTAGCGCGTTGCCACGCCTACCGCGGTCTGATTGGTCGGGGTTTTCGCTTAATATCTCCTTAACGAAGCCTCCTACAACATTTTCGCTAGGGAAAAAGTTGTTTGAAATCACCTCCTGAACCAACCCTTTCAAAGTGTTACAACGTTTTTGGAACACCCTGTATATCCCCTTTCCTTAACTGCTAATCTTAAAATCTAGGGCCTTATATTACGGTTACCGTTAGTTCAACTCCTCTTCTTCTATCCTTCCCTCTGCCCCAATCTCAATGCCCTTCTCTTTCTTTCTTCTTACTATTTTTTCAAAATCTAGCTGAAGAAGGTTCGTGCGCATAAATTGAAACGTTCCATTTTCTTGTTTCAGTCCCACGCTAGTGGTAAAGCAAGATGGATCGGTGAATGCGGGCTTAGCTGTGGCCCCTCCCTCGAGGAGTCGCTGGTACCAGCGTTGGAAAAGTTGCGAGCCACCTCGTGAACGGTGCTCGGCGACGAATGCATAGAGAGACGTCGTGTACCGTCACTCAGCACAAGACTTAATCCATCACCATCCATCTAGTATCACCCCACCACCATCGTGCGAGTCGGAAACGTGTGAATGTGGATTCTGGTTGCATAGATGATACATTATGTTCCTGAGCAGGAGAGAACGGAAATATGAACAGACAACCCAACTCAAATGAAATCGTTCATCATCTCCCACAGCTTCCTCTTTTCGACGGTGCATCGCCGCAAAACACGCTCGATTATTGGCAGAATCTTTCCTCAAGAGCTGAAACCAAACCATCGGCACTGCCCTGTGTTCATCATTATCGCTGCCCTCGATTAGAGGGACGAGTTATATACCGCGTGAATCACTGGGGCTGTTCGCGATGTTATAGCTTCTTGGTAGATTGTATTTGCGGCATGTTGGGTGCGATGCGTTGAATGCCCCTTGTACATTGTAAATCTCGAATTATATTTGGTTTGGAGCGTACAAATCTCTGTATATGTATATGTATATGTATATGTATATATATATACTCACGCAATCTGATTTCTAAAGTAATTCTCTGCGAGAAGTACAATTGATTAAATAGTGATTTCGAGTTTCGAATAGCTGGATAAATTTTGTAGAACCGTATTCTTTTTAGAGAAATTAAATTTTATTTGGTCACGTTTCGTTGATACTGGGTATTGCGTACCAATAAATTGTTAACAAAATTTTTTACAGACTTTTAATCGGAACAGTCTAGATTTCGTAAATATACAGCAGAGATGGGAATCATTTTCTTTTCAAATAAAAAGTAATGAATAAAAGCAACCTACAGAGATTTATTTAGGTTTATTCGTCGTTCTTTAAATTTTTCTTCATTGTAAAATATTTAACGGATATTAATAGTTGTTGATCTTTTGTTCGTTAATCGACATTTTCATATGCATACGAATTTCTCCCATCTCTGGTATATATAACTGTATACGTATTTGTCACCATCTGTTTACTGTTGTGTTTTGACAAAAGTAACGAAAGAGTACTTGCACACGCAATGAAATGCAGTGCGTGAAAAATAGCTTAAAAAATATATGTCACCATGTTCAGTGGCTCTGTAATAGATCCATTCTTCAATTTTTAACTTATAATAAAAGAACATTACATTTTACACCTTCTTTTGGTTGCATAACTTTGGTCTCGAAATGTTCAGTAACGTTCGAGTTTTAAGTAATATTTTACGCGGTTAAAAAAGAAACACGGAACGGTTGTTATTGTTTTATTAGATCAAATGATGCAAATGATTGATGGAAATGAATTTGAGCAACATAAATTTGAGATAGAGCAACGTATACAATTATTGATATGGTGAACATAACAATTCCATCAAAATTAAGAGCTAACTTTTCACTTTAAAGACCGAAGGAATGTATCTTTCAAGAATAATATTCATTGCAATCGAGTCTTAGACTGATAATAGGTGAAATTTGTAACAGAAAAATGTTTATCGTTGATAAAGCAAAACGTACCGAGTTTACGATAAAAATATAATGTAATCCAATATCAGTTGTAAATGACAAGCTGTACAAAATGTCTACGATTGCATTTGGAAAAGTTGGTGCTAAGTGCCAAGAGACACGAAATTAGCCTAAGAAGTGGAACTGGGGGAAATATCAGTCAAAGTAGAAGCTAGTAAATATAAATTAAAACTTCTTTTTACGAGTTATCGATACTACGACTGCGTTAACAATTACGATTTTCAAAAATCGTGTCGGCAGTAATTTCACTAGCACACACGATTTTGAACTCATTCGTAGAAAATAATTAAAAATGCGTAAAGCGCTTTTTACTATTTTTTTTTCTTTTAATTTTTTTCCGGTTAATGCGATTCTTCTCAGTTTTATGTGAGAACATGTTACGTAGCCTACACACACCTAAGTGAAATCAATTTAAAAGCAAGCATTTATGTTGGTGCCAATCAGTTTTCGAATTTGTACTACTTTTTTTAACGTAATAACCAGACGCGTGTATTTGTTTTCATGAACAATTATACATTCGTGCACGATTCATTTGAACACAAACGTATTCTTTTGGTCGTATAATGTTTCGTATGTGAGAACATGTTCATCAGATTCATGCTCATGTAAATTAAACTGTAACTTGTAAACATTTTCTGAAGTATTAGCTCAGGCGACGAGCTTTAATTTAATGCTTTAGAAAATACCTTTGGTAGCAATTTTTATTTAATCCGTAAAATTCTTATTTATGACCAGAACATAAAAATTATGGGTTTAATAAACGATATTCGTCAGAAATTCCATGTGTTATTTATAAAAAAAATAGATATTAATAAATTAATTTACACAAACATACGATTACGTGTCGTGTACAGTCATTCAACGTCAGATTTTATCAAATGAACGAACTTTTCGTAAAAAGATTTCTGCGATTGAATTAAAATTCATAAATAAAAGGCTTTACGAATGCTCTTTTTATTGACAATCTTATGTACATTTTTATCATGCTGTGCAGCATGTCCACTCGATTTTGTATTGTTCCAAAGTACACGATTCCGCGCATGTACTTTCGCTTCGAGACTATTAACTTGCACATATTAGGTGATATATGGTAAACTCATAATACACAATTTTAACAGGCAACGTAGAAGCAGGTTTGTTACCAGCGAAAGTACAAAAATGACGACACTAAATCCTGAAGTAAGTACTGAAACTTCAAACTAGCACAAACAGCTGTTCTTATTTCACAATACCAGAGAAAAAAAAGATTAAAGTAAATTTCACAGAGATATTAAATACTGAAAAATTTGTAATACAACGTATACATTCAGTCTAGTTATTGCTTCTTAATTAAGACTGTTCCCATGGTAGCCTGTTAACGTTAAGTATGTAGCCGCAATAAAAGTGGCGTACTCTTGCTACACAACCTTTTAGGGAGTACTAGCTCGCAATGATGATATAAAAATTTTCTTTCGTTAAATAACTCTTAACTGTGTTGAGCATTTAGATTTACAATGGTGGTAAGGAACAAATTACTCCATTGAAAATTGTGAACAGAAATGGGAATACAGAGGTAGGTAGAACGTTCCTCCTTAAAAGATCTGTGCGTGAAATCATGTGCTGCCTGAATTACGCTAATATTTTACTATTAGTTTACATAAAGGTAGCATCGGTTCGCTCAGAGATCGAACAAACTCTTCTTTGACATAATGAAGATAATCTCAGCACCATTATCCTACAAGGACAACTAATCTTGCGCGCAGCGCGTGCAAATATTGACAAGAATTAAACTTTGGTGCACGACGTGATTCACATGCGTAATAAATAAGTTGCTGTCGTCGTAGCGATAGATCGGTAACTTCTCGTCGGTTGTTTCTTCCTGTGCAAAAATAGAAAGTTGCACAAGGACCCAATTTAATAAATCGTGGGGTGACCAAGAAAAAAATGGATGGCTGGACAAGCTAAATTATACATATTTACTTCGAAAAAATCTAATAGGAACGAATCGCAGGTGGTACTGTCGCGCATTCTTTTTCGTTTAACGTATTGTCTATCACTGGTCTGAACTCGATTTTTACCTGGAACATAATTCAAAGTAATATAAATTCAGTGAATCGTATATTAGAAGAGGCGAACTAAAAGTATTTCTCCCAATTTTTCTATGTTCTATTTCAACGAATGTTTGAACCAAGTAAACGTACTTAAGTTATGTTATATATATTTAAAAAATGCTCAATTCTCCGATGCAGCGAGTCGGTATTACTTACTTCTCCTGTCCTGGGGTTAATCGTTGTCAGCGTATGCTTTCGCCAATGTTGATCCAATGGCTTTGGTTGCTGGTTTTCTAAAGGTTTACTGTAATCGTACTCATCAATTCTGTCTCTGAAATCTTCGCGGGCGTGAGCGCCGCGACTTTCCTTTCTATTCTCAGCGCCTACTATCGTTTGCATCGCGTTGATCATTAAATTTTGTAATTCGAGAGTTTCTACGAGGTCGGAGTTCCATATCAAAGACCTGTCTGCTACTTTGACATCGCCTAATTTTTTGTAAAGGGCAGACATCTTTTTACATCCTACAAAAATTTAAAGATATTTTAATACCAAGAAAACTTTCTTAAAATTATTTCAAGCATTATTGCTAATCAAAATTTTACCTTCTTGTAAAGTTTCAGCCATTCTAAACACGGCTGCATGTGTTTGCATGGTTTTCTGCATACTTAATCTTAAATCCGCTGTCGTAATACTACCGTTCGCATTTCTAGCCCAGTCTAAATTCGCCACACTTTCTTCTCCAGCGTTCTAACATATGTGCAAATTACATTAATTGACATGTCTATTTAGTATACAAACATCGTCTAATTCAGAATCTTTGATTTTTAAGAAACTAGACGAACAGTTTAAGGCTGAAGATTGTGATATGCATGTACATGTCAGAAATCATGAACGGTACTGAAACCTACTGTAATTCAATTGGCTACGGTGACGCCACCATTATCTTGGTAAAACTTATATTCAAACCTTGTAAGTACTCGCCAAGAAATACAATTTTGTACTATTCCCATTAGCTTTAAAGCAGTTTATCTTAGAGATATTATAGATAAAGTAGGGGAGACAGATCTCTAGTCGTACCACAGCTAAAAAGAGAAAAAAAAAGACGCGGTACCCTATCTGTTTTTCTCCCTCAGGCTGTAGCTGCATATGTCTGATTGTAGCTACAGTACGGGTTTCACCATCCCGAGGTACCCGTGCTATATATAGAAGGGCCAATAAGTCTCAACAAACTACTGTATGCGTTGACTACTCCCGTACTCTATTTCTAATGTGTTTAATACTTTTCAATACACTATCTGTGCGTCAAGTTTAACAATAATCAGAAATTGTATATTGGATGATGTTCCTTGTAGTATGCTATATAATATACTTACAGGTTTAAGAGGCCCAATAGCTTCACCTGGTTTATTCTCTGTCGCGATTGTCTTAGCACATGCACGTCCAAACACAACTAAATCTAATAATGAATTAGCACCGAGACGATTAGCACCATGAACTGATGCACAAGCTGCTTCTCCACAAGCGTACAGTCCACGTACGACTTTGTCTTCGTTATTCTGTCTTGTCAAAACCTGTCCCTTATAATTTGTTGGTACACCTCCTACACGTATACATTATTATGATTTATATAATATTTCATAGATTTTCAAAGAATATTTTTAATTAAATTATTAAAATACTTATTTTCTTGTTATGAACGTATTTTAATATTTAATAGTTAATTTTATTTTTCTCTCGTAATTTTGAAAAATATTACGTACCCATGTTGTAATGAACAGTAGGTATAACAGGAATAGGTTCTCTTGTCACGTCAACTCCAGCAAATATCATCGCAGTTTCCGAAATACCAGGCAATCTGGCTGCCAATTGCTCAGGCGGTAGGTGATGAAGTTGCAAATAAATGTGATCCTTTTCAGGGCCAACACCTCTGGAAAAGAAAATAATTTTAAGTTATATAAATAAGTCTGCATTAATTATATAACGTTTATATAAAACGCTAACATAGTGCACGTGCAAACATGTAAGTTCATCGTGACCGCATAGTCTCTATCATTTTACAAATTAAAATTTAATATCACGTCTTGCTTCTACCATTCCACTTTCATGTATATTATTAAAAAGTCTTTTTATCCTTCTTTTTAACGTTTTATAATTTCATTATTATTATTATAGAAATTCTTTTACTGAAGATAGCTAAATTTGCTTTTGTCATAAGAAATTTGCATGTTTTTGCATGATGCATGATTTTGGGACACCCCGTATCCGCTACATTAAACTTACCTGCCTTCCCGGATTTCAATGGTCATAGACCTAGATACTACGTCCCTAGAGGCTAGATCCTTCGCGACTGGCGCATAACGTTCCATAAACCTTTCACCTTCGCTATTTACGAGATAGCCTCCTTCGCCACGGCTGCCTTCTGTGATGAGACAACCAGCGCCGTATATTCCTAAAATTAAGAATATCGTAAATACGTATATTGTATGAGCCTACATAACTATCTAACACCTGCGTAACTCATTTACATTTGACGATAAACAAATTTGGTTGGAACAAATCTTGCGTGGTTTCAAGGAGAAGTAATCTGATGTTAGTAATTGGTTTCAAGGGGACGTTATCTGAAATGTGTAGTCCAGATTTTGCCTATCCTTGATCAAAAGTAAATGAGTCATTATTAGGTTGTAGATCAAGTATGCAATTTGAATTAGTTCTTGCATATAATTTTCGTACCAGTTGGATGAAATTGTACAAATTCCAAATCCTGATTGTGTAAATTGGCTCTTGATACCATTGCAGTACCATCACCGGTACATGTATGAGCAGATGTACAGGAGAAATAGGCACGTCCATAGCCTCCAGTTGCTAACACTGTATTTTTAGCATGGAAACGATGAAGCGTGCCATCTTCTAGACAAAGAGCAATCACTCCTCTACATTCTCCATCTTCCATGAGCAAATCCATAGCAAAGTATTCGACAAAGTAATTGCAGTCATAGCTCAATGACTGACCATACAGGGTGTGAAGGAGAGAATGACCTGTTCTATCAGCTACACAGCAACATCTGTGAGCTTGGCCACCTTTTCCAAACTTTAGAGACTGTCCACCAAAAGCACGTTGGTAAATTTTACCTGTAACAAAAAGAATAGTTACTTCTACGTAAGCATTAAAACTAACTCGAGAAATATAAACATATTTAATTCTACGATTAATTATTAAAAAAATGAAATTTTCAACCATTTTTTAAATTCTACAAATGTTGTTCCGAAATTGAAGTTTTATAAACATATAAGCAACATTCACACAATTAATAGAAGTATAACAATGTTTGGATGCATGGCAACCACAAGATATGATTTGTTATTCTTAAATGTTAGTTAAAAATTTACATCAATATACTTTTTTGATACCGTGATAAATTTTGGCAGAAGTGATATCACTTGTAAGCAAAAATGCAGAAATACCAGTGTAAATATTAAAAAGTTAGTAGACTATATAACTATGGATGATAGTATAAGGCAGGGGAAGGATTCTGAAGGATCTAACGTTGTACAAAATGAAAAAGATCAGACAAATGAGAGGTACAGAACAATAATTAATAAACATTTAAAATAAAGATTACAAGAAAATCAAATTAACTTATGAGTCTAAATAAGCAGTACACTTATACTTGTTACTTTATTTAATGATTCGTTTATTACAAAGTTTTATTCAATGGAATCTAAACATGTATAGACTTCATAAATTATACGTAAATTTCTAGAATGAAATCAACGTCCAAATCACAGCAAAATCAAAGGATGCATTCTCATTCCCGTTCTCGATCGCCAACTAGTTCTAAAACTTCAAAGCAATGGATAAGTTCCAATGCTTTCATAAATTTTGTTCAGGATTTTAGACAGGTTGGCACACAAATAAAATATATATGCACATTTTGCTATGAGTAGAGAAAACATGACATTTACAGAACTTTACCGATGTGAGGAGCACAAGAGTATTTCAATTAGCTGGTGAAAGATGGAAGCAAATGTCTCCTGAAGAAAAACAACCATACATAAATACAGCTAAAAGCGTTAGGAACCGTAGACAAGATCAGCCGAAGTTTGAACAAGAAAATAAACCTAATGCAAACACAGAACACAAAAAGAATGCAAACACAGAACACAAAAAGAATGAAAACACAGAGAAGCGGACAACAAATAGAAAAAATCCAAAAAAAAGTAGCAAGGTCGATTTTTCATTTACTTTGTCAGAACAATTATAAATTTCAGTGTGCATAAACAGAATTAAATTTGCCGATAAATCACGTATAACAAGCATATCTTTAATATAGGAACGAAAACAGAGTCGAAAAAAGAAACACGATACTGAATCAGAGAGTGATACAGCTACTTCGGTTACCTCAGCCTCAAACACAGCAACAAGCGAGGATATGTCAGACACAAGTTGATAAAAAAACAATTGGTTATGTGAATTTGTTAGTGCTTGTAATCACTTCATATTAGAAGAATTCTTCTATATATACAATTAATACACATTATATTTTGTTATATCATATAAAATTGATTTTCTATGATAATATGCCAAAAATACTAAAATGTACTTATGTCATAAAATATTAATAAAAGACTTCTCCTATTTAGGTTTCCTATGTGAAATATGTACAATACATTATATATTAGGGTACTGAAGAAATCACTGTGCACTTCAAAATTTTAATTCATTCAGTGATTAGGTAAATAAAAAGTAATTTCAAGTATGATGATCTATTTTTCTTAACAACTAGGAGCAAAATGCCTAAAATATGCAATACCTTTTTAGACACTCTAATAGCTGTATTTTATAATAATATTACCATCTGTGGTACGACTGAAGGGCATGCCACAATTTTCTAATTCGATGACTGCTTTTGGAGCTTCACGAGTCATATAATGAATAGCATCCTGATCACCCAGCCAGTCAGATCCCTTAACAGTATCGTACATGTGCCATTGCCAGTTATCACTTTCCATGTTACCCAATGCTGCATTAATTCCTCCTTGAGCAGCAACAGTATGCGATCTTGTTGGGAATAATTTGGTAACAACTGCTGTTTTGAATCCTTCCGCAACCAAGCCATAGGCTGCACGCAATCCTGCTCCTCCAGCACCCACCACAACAGCATCGTAAGTGTGATCTACTAGTGGATAATGTTTAGAGACGGCATCAGAAATTTTTGCTGCTTTGCCATCTGGTGTATAATGTAATTTACGATCTGTAGTAATGGGCAAACCCAACTTATTCTGAAATAATGGAAAGAAATATTTTAAAAATTTCTGAGTACATATATTGCATGTATCTGCAGAGATGGGCAGATTTTAAATCATATGATAGATGATGAATTCAGACACCATACAGTAATTTATTTTATGGTAAGCAATCTTGAATAAAATGAAATTTGAATCTACACTCATCACAATTGCAAGTACAAGGTAATCATATAATATTACTGTTAGAATATAAATGTATTCAAATATATTCAATATGTAATAAATATGTATTCAATTATACTTTGTTCTGAGAACCGTTCTGTGATATAGTTAAGGTATTGCAGATAAGGTCTTGGAATTTGGATGTTTTACACTAAATATTTTCTCAAGTAAGCATTTTCTTTGCCAATTTTATCAGTCTAAATATCGATCATACATCTAATATCTCCCACTATCTAGTGTAAGCAGTCCGTTACAATTACACTATAAATAAAGTTAATTGAACTGAATCTCCCACTATCTTTGAGATGTAGCATTATTGTCTCATTAAAGTTAGGTTTATATACTTAGTTTTATAATTTCATCGATAACATTGTGTACTTGTAACATTCATTCTTTTTCATTGCCCTTCTGTGAAAAATAACCTAAGGTAGTATTTGGAAAGCAAGTAATAATGATCTTTTCAATAATAATTGATAATAAAAGAACTTATAACTATATAGTTTGAAATAAATTCCAAAAATGTCCATGAAATCCTTTTAACATATGCAGATATATTTAAACTATTTGAGTTGAATAGAAACTTAAAAAACATAAATACATTTAAAATAAATAATTCTATGTTTCATTTAAGAAATAAAAATTGAATTGTATTACGAAGTTTGAGAAACACTGACCTAATATCTACAATATACTTCGCCATATGGAGATTAAATGTAACAATACGTGATTAGTAAAAAACTTTTTGTTTTCATTTTTCTTTCATTTTTGGTCGGTTTAGTAAGTAAAAAACGAATTTGTAACGGCGATTGACATATTTGATATACAGCGTGTTTCTCAAGGTACCGCTAAATGCTGAAAACAAATTAACGGGATCACGATTATCTAAAATAATTTTATTGCATGATCATACGCAACCAACAGACCGGGAGTGAAATAAAGTACGTAAAATTGAAATCGGGTATGGATGGTAGGTTCATAACAAACGAAAACGTAATTTAAAGAGTGTAATTTCCCGCTAATACCAGCATCCCGTGTCGGTGGCTCATCCGCAATTACAATTAACCTCTTCTGGCCTGCTGTACAGTGTACATACATCATAATACACGTCGACGTAAAGATCATCTTTCGTAACAACATAATTAATATCTTAAAACAATAAACGTCACACCGCCTACGGTTGATTTTTCTTTAAATTACATTTTCCGTGATATTTAGCCAGAACCATGAAAGTTTATCACGAGTGCAACATGTAACAGATACATTATATAAAAGAGATGTTACAGCATGTAGAATAATATTTTTCATCGCTAAAACATGACATATTTAATATGATGAAAATTATGTTTATTTAGTGGATAAGCTTCCGTTCATTTCGTTTACATTTACACTATAAATCATACAAAATATACTTGTTGATCCATAACAGCAACGTAATGCATGTTATTTTTTAGTTTTTAATATTACGAATCTTTACTTGAATAAGTTTGCAACAGAGTAGGACAAATTAGGAGAAATTTTTCACTTGGCCGTGACACCGCATCTCTGTATAACCTTCACTTTTTTCATTTTCTTTTGAAATTTTTGTAAAAAATTAAACGAATCGCTGAGAACAACACGGTATAATAGGCAAGTTATTTTATATTACGTATATATTCTTTCATGTCTCTAATGAATTTTACACGTTCACAACACTTAATCAGCGATGCTTGACACAGTAACAAAATCACAAGTCATATGCGTTGTGTGCTATATTAATATATGTTTGGTTTTGTTCACGCTAAGATAATTAAGAATATTCGCCTTTTAATTTAGAAATTTTACAATTCTATGGATCTAGTAGGTATGCAAGATAACATGTAGATAATGCGTGAATTTTGTTGCTCATAACTACCAACTGCAGAATAATGTACGTTTGTTTAATTGATTAACTTTTCAGCCACAAGAATGCATGGCACTTTTCGGGAAAACAAGTAACTTAAATAACAGAAAGTTTCCTCAAACGATCAGCATATTATCTCGAAGAGGGTCAAAACGACGATTCGATGAATTCGAATAATTACATGCCGATATAAATATATTTTTTATATACAAGGTGTCCCAAAAATGTTGTAACACCTTGAAAGGGGTGATTCGGGAGGTGATTTGAAACAAGTTTTTCCTTAGCGAAAATGTTGTCCGAGGCTTCGTTAAGGAGATATTAACGGAAAACATTGACCAATCAGAGCGCGCGTATACCGTTGGAGCGGTCGCGGTAGCGAAGGCTACGCGCTAGGTAGCCGCTCTCGTACGCGAACAAGTGACTCGACGTGCATCGAAGGACCTTGACGCGACCGCTCAACGTGTAGCCTTCGCTACCACGGCCGCTCCACCAGTATACGCGCGCTCTGATTGGTCGACGTTTTCCGTTAATATCTCCTCAACGAAGCCTCGGACAACATTTTTGCTAAGGAAAAAGTTGTTTCAAATCACCTCCCGAATCACCCATTTCAAGGTGTTACAACATTTTTGGGACACCCTGTATATAGCGGCAGAAAATCAAGTATCGAGGAGACTAAATCGCCAGAATGCGATGCAGCGGACGGTTTCGATGTTACGTCTAGGTTTAATATTCAGCCAGTAATAAAAGTAACGATTGTTTGCCGAACGAAGATAACGGAAATCACCGTTATTATTTCGCAGTGGAAAAGTATGACTGTGTGCAACCCGGCTACCGTGGCTGGGGTGGCGCGTACGAAATGAGGGAAGTTCGATAATAAAAGACACTCGACGTCAGAATCGTCTGCTAAACATTCTTCCCTCGAACGCAAACCGTAACCGAGTCACCCGTCGGTCCTTGATATCCGTATTTTCGTAACCGTTTCATTTAGGTTTTTGTCATTGATCCGGATAAGCGACAAAATGCCCCGCCACGAGGAAAGTTTTTCATGCGGAATCGAGGCAGATCTTCGCGAGAGTGTTTGGGTAAACTTACGTAATTCGATCGACGCCGAATATCGCGCAAAGGTGCATCATTGTCGGTATAAAAATTATGTAACTTAACGAAAAAACGGCTTACCAACGTCGTCGTTCGAGTATTTCTCGCCAGTAAAGACGACAGCTTCAATAGACCGCTCATCTTGGCACGTTGTCACGTTCTCGTTGTTAAATTTTCGTTTTTGACGGGGATACGTGCACCTCTTGTATCGAATGCGCGTTTCGGCTAACACCGTGCAACTAACCCCAGTTTTTGTTAACTTCACTACCGCACTTCTTGCACGGTGACGTGAAGTGCTCGAGTCGGTTGAGTACCGACTACTGGCGGAAGCTCTCAGATGAATACCAGTGCTGCCAATCGTACGGCCGAGAGTTAACCTCACCTATGAGGTGCTTGTTCGATTTTCATTTCGCGCTTATCGCCGATTGTTCCGTACGATTCAGTTGATTCGCGTGCCAGAAAATACATTATCGCAACGTAGTTAATTCCGGAACGTTCGTAATTTTCACGTTAACGCGTTGAAAAGTAGGTAACGCCAGGCGGGAAAATTGAACAATGCCGCGAAATAAATAAATGCGAAAGCGGTTCTCATTTCACGTTACTCGTTTATGGGGTGCTAACCGTTAACGGTATTCCGAATTTTGTACTTTGTTCTATTGCGTGAGTTACGAATGGAAAGTGTTTCGCTACAATTCGTGTAATCTTTTTCACTCGGCGCTTTTCTCTGTGTTTTAAGCAATGAATATAAAACAGATAAGTTAACGATGGGATTAGTTCGAGTATTAGGTATGTAAATTAATTCTGACGCTTTACATTCAATCGTTTCTACCTGTGGTTTAAATGAAAATATTTACACGTTATTTTGTTACATTCAATTATTAACCTTCCGAGTTTCTTCCATATTTAATTATTTGTAAGTTTAGTTTAATCGGTAATATTTAACCGCCATTTTGTTACAGTAGAGTATCAACTTTCATGAAAGGCACAGGTTGCTTTGACACTTGTTTGAACAACTATATGTGCTTTCTTGTATGACTGGAGAAACACCGAAACAAAATACCGTTTTAATCTTTTATTTACATTACATTTAGAAACGATTTTATTCTTATTACAATATAATTGTTTTATATCATATAATTGATATTCACTGCTTCTTCAATTTGTGGTGTGAAATATGTGTGAAATATGTTTGGTATTGTGTGTCGAATTCGAGTATGAAATTTGTGTTTGAATGTGGAAAGTATGTAAACAATGCGAGTTTCTGAATTAACCAAGGAGTACGGGTACTGGAGTAGGAGTAGGAAAACTGTGGTGTAAAGGTAAAACGCAACAAGGACAGAAATCTTTATTATCGAACAGCTGGTATTTATTTTCTATGGGAATTGTAAACAGGTAAATATCGAATTTGATCTATGACACTTATCGATGTGACAGTCGCGTGTCTCGATGAATCTCAATCAGTTTGTATTTGTTCCTTCGTGGTTCGATATGAATAAATCGATTGCTGACAATAACGTCATCGATAGTATGCAAACACGTTCTAATCTTATCGTTATTGGGAACAACCTCACAAGTTAAAGAGATACATTGTCGAGTGTACACGTTTTCTGATAGTTAAATATACATTCGTGAGGTAACTAATTAATATTCGACAATTTTAGAAATACAATAGACTTGTACATGACGCGGTTGATACGTTATACGCGTTGTATGAAATCGTGTTACATGATCTCATGTTATACGGGAGTTCAATGTAGTGTTTTCACGTTCGAATTCGATCGTTTGTTATTGGATAATGTGTCGGTTTCTTAGTTCTCGAGCGTATAAGTTGAATCGCTTCAGGATACGAACCTCGGATTATACGATCAATCGTTTAAATCGTGTAACGGTCATTCTAGCAAGAAATCTAATATTTTATGAGGTTGTTAACGTAGATTCGTAACGGTGATAGCATTTAACCGAGCTTTATTTACCGTAGCTCGGGGAAGTAAAGCAAAAAAAAAAATGAAACAAGCGGATTCGTTGTGCTGCGGGGTTGACGGACACGTTGCGTGTCTCGTTTTCCTATTGGTCGACTCGCTGTAGGCTCGTCACCTTTGCATATATGTAGGTAATACTCGCGCCATATGGTGGGGTACTCTATGCATACACTGTCTCGGCCAGATTCTATCTTACCAACACAATAGTTATTCAAGTATTGGTAGTGATAGGCGTAGGAGTACTCTGGGAAACAGGTTTGCTTGTGTCTACAGGGTGTCCCGTGCAGAGATGGGCAAAATTATTATCTATTTGGTAGGGAAATTAATTCTGTGCCTTTATATTCAATCATTTATAACTTTAATATAAGCAGAAATATTTAATCGTCATTTTGTTATTATATGTTAAATTAACAACCTTCTAGGTTCTCGAGCTGCTCTTCATTACGACGAATCTACATAAATATTATATGTAAAATATTTCGGTTGAAAATGAATAACGTACGGTGGAAGCAATTATTATTTAAGTTTCGACGGGTAGTGTTATGGAAATTTCAAGTTACACATTTTGTTCGGGCGAGAAGAAAGCTCTGTAAACAAAACCGCGTGATTTGAAACGGAAGCTTAGTTATTGGTCCGTTATGTAACTGTTCAGGAGCGTAACGTTGGTTGTTACTAGCATGTATTTTTCTTTCTTTTTTCTTTATCAAAGTGCACAGGGTGTCCCAAAAATGTTGTAACACCTTGAAAGAGGTGTTTCGGGAGGTGATTTGAAACAACTTCTTCCTTAGCGAAAATGTTGTAGGAGGCTTCGTTAAGGAGATATTAACAGAAAACACTGACCAATCAGAGCGCGCGTATACCGTTGGAGCGGTCGGGGTAGGCGTGGCTACGCGCTAGGCGGCCGCGCTTATACGCTACCACGGCCGCTCCGACGGTATACGCGCGCTCTGATTGGTCGACGTTTTTCGTTAATATCTTCTCAACGAAGCCTCCTACAACATTTTCGCTAAGGAAAAAGTTGTTTCAAATCACCTCCCGAATCACTATTTTCAGGAACTTCCAACATTCTTGGGACACCCTGTGTATGAGGTTTTGTGGTCACAAAACATTTATTATTATTATTATTCTAACAAATCACGAGTATACTTAAGAATTTCAGTAATTGTAAAAGAATAATGAGCAAAATTCAATGGCTACTAAACTTCGTACAGATGAATTTCAATGGCCATCTAGTTGAGACTTAGGTGTATATGTATAATATAATTATAATATTGGGCGCTGTGTAACACCTCATCCAGCGAAATTCGAGCCCATTCTCTACGCAACGATCTGGCAAAAACTATAGGGAACTATTATTTAAAAAAAAAAATTAAAACAACTTGTGGTCGCCATAGTGTTGGTTTCGACAGGGTGATCGAAAAAGGCATGAAAATGGCAAAAACTGTAAGGAACTATTCTATTTCGAGAAAAAAAAATGAAAACAACTTACTTTTTATAGTCTTAAACCTCTTTTTAGGTCAACCTAGACTTATACAATTATACCCCAATGTTCAGAGTCAACATGTACTCGCTAATAAAATCCTGAACAGTAAACCAACGATCACAACTATTGTACGAAAATAAATGATAAATTAGCCTACAATTAGCCACATTGTTTTTATATTTCCTAAACAATATTCATTACCTATTCGATAATTTTATTGTTAAAAGCAATAACAACAGTAACGTTATTGCTCCTAAGATCAACGTAGTTTTAGATGAAAATTTTGCGTTGCTCGGAACGTTGGAGAAAGAAAAAATATATTTTATACAATCTTGGTCACGTATACAAATTTTTAATCAATTTACACTAGTAAGATAGTATTCGGCGAGCAATAAAAGACAAAAGTCGCTCGAATTATGCAAATAAAATGGCATAGGGGTCTACGTCTCCGGTCGGAATTAATTAGTTGTATAATGTGTTGCTCGTTAAACGTTGCAAACGGAATGGATAAGGGACATGCATGATAAACGACAAAATCGGACCGTCGGCGTCGTTACAATTCCGCGATAACGTGGTCTTTCGCCGATTTTAATTGCGTCGGCGGACACGTAAAACATTCACATTGTTTCGTAGCAAAAACGCCACGCTACAGGCAGAAAGTTGTGATCAGTACGTCCGAACAGCTGGCGGAACGTGTTTGGCCTCTGCCTCGTCCAATGTCGAGTCGATGACGGGTCGATAAGATATGCTGATCTGCAAAAATGTTAACTGTAAAACACGGTTTGAATTACAGTTTGGCGTAAAGAAATTACTTAGAAAAGATCATTCTAAACTGTGAATCTTTATGCAAGATAAAATCTTTACATCCGTACCTACAAAAATTCAACCATAATACAAATTTATTCTACCTCTGCAAATATTATAATGCAAACATTACTTTCAATATTCTTTAGATTATTGCATACTATGTGCGTTTCGTAGTTTATTGCACATTCAAATTTCTATATCTATGAATGCACAGAATTCCACGGTCTAGTAATTATTAGAAGGCGCAGTAAGTTGAAACATTTTCTTCGAACCCTTCAGACCTGACTTGTTTTTAGAGACGAAACATTTATTTTTTAATAGATACATACTAACAAGGAAACATCGGTGAATCTGTTTTGGTTATTTTCAGATGCTGACGTAAAAATTTTAATCGAATTAACGTTGGACGTTATTTCAAATTTCGGATAACAATTTTATGCTTCGTGTATAATTGTCGATTAAAAAGAAAACGAAGAAATTCAGAAATATGATAATCAGAGTACGGATGTTTATGCAAAATCATATTTTCAGATTCAGGCAAGGAATTTAGATTTAAATGTTAGTGTATCTTATCTTCTAAATATAATGTTACAGTATACACTCTAGAATTTTCTTGTTGATATTTTATATATTTTTGCATTTATGAACATCCTCGTTCATCTTTCCATATTTTCACTTATCGTAAACGCTTAAACATCCGCAGTCTGATGATAACTCACTGATCCATCCTCGCGTGCCCACGTCAGCGTATGTTTGCGCCAGTGGTCGATGTACGCACGTTTTTTCTGATCATTGAGGGGTTTCGTGTAATCGTACTCGTCGATTCTTTCCTGCGAATAGAATTTTTTCAATTTTCTCGTGAATTTTCTTAAAACAATCGGACAAAAAAAAAAAGTAGAAGAACGATTATTGTGCGAATACCTTGTAATCGTCCCGAGCGTGTGATCCTCTGGATTCTTTTCTATTCTCCGCCGCGTAAACAATGTGCATACTAACCAGCATCATGTTTTGTAATTCTATGGCTTCTACGAGTTCTGTATTCCAAATTAATGACTGGTCTTGAACCTGAATTTAGAAGAGACAAAGTGAGACAAAACGAAAGCGCAAACGACCTCCAGATTAATAAAATCTATATATACTATTAATTTAACTAATACATCAATTTTACCAGACTCTTCAAACATGTTTTCTGGTTTAAACAATTTTTCACTGAACGTTAAGAAGTTATTACCGAACGGAAATGTTAAACTATTATTAGCGCAGTTGCCATTAATATTGGCCGTGCTCATTCATATTATATGTTACAAAAAATAAATCTGTGACTAATTTTTGAAGAAACATATCATTCTACAATAATACTTTGAATAATTCTAGTGTAAATTTATTTGAATGAAAAAAAATTACAACACAGTTGCACGAGCCCTTAGGCAGCGTCTATTTCGCCCCTATGTAGGGTCACTACTGTATCCTTGCCAGGACAATGACAAAGGGATAAAGGATAGGATAAGCTATGTTAACCCTTTGCACTCGAGAGGTGTCTCTCAGTCACCACTAGGTTTCCTTTAGCTCTAATTTCTTTGGAGTTCGAAGTGTCAATAAAATAATTGTCGGCGAGGCAAAGGTAACCTTATTTTCAAATCTCAAATCAGAGATCTCATTTTCGAAGTAAATCTAAGCGTAGCATTCGCGACAATAGAATGCTAAGAAAGCATCTCGAGTTTCAGATAGATACCAGAAAAAAAGGGCCTCGAGCGCAAAGGGTTAAAAGCGACGAAACAGACGAAACGAAAGAAGTATTCGATATTTATCGGGTCATGTAACAGATTAAAAAGGTTTGATCGTATTGAAGAATTTCGATCAATTCACCTACACATAAGTCCGGTAGATCGCAGGTGTAAAGCCGCGTCATCTCGCGGCATCCTCGCTGCAATATGTGACAGGTTCTGAAGACAGAGCAATATCGGTGCATTGTTTGCTGCATCTCCTCCCGCAACTCGGCAACAGGAATGCAGCCTTTTGCGTAACGGGTCGCGTCGAAACGACAAATTGATTGTTCGCTAACAGCCTGTTCCCGAACACGACGTGCAATAAGAAAACACTCTACAATTATGACAATTAAAAATGTTCTGCTCTCGAGACAATCGACTCGACTATCAAATCATTATTGCATTCGCAACAAGTGAATCGAAATGGTGGAAAGAAGAAACACTCGTTCTTAACACTTTCCATTGCGATTCAATCTTATCCAATAGTTCCCGAGAAAAACATTCTTGAAAATATGCTTCTTTTTTTGTGCGTTCACAGTGAAATGCCCCCTTAATGTACTTAGCAATAGCACGAAGTAATTATTGTCAGTCTAGATTGGCATATACTACCGTAGAGAATTCTTTTTTGAATTAAAGACTGTTTCTAAATAGCCCGGTAGATAAAGCGTTAATATGCGGGCACTTTTTAGAGGGTAAGCTCTCTCGACACCCATCACCAGTACGAATCGAAAAATCTTTAACCAATTCGCGAACTGCGGCTTCGTTGTCGAGATATAAACAGTTGAAATTTACAGGTGTGACTTCCGTGTTTCAAAGTGCCTACACAGTTTCTTTGATCCAACGTTATATGATTAGGTTGTCCCGAAAGTTTCTTTCGTGAGATGCATTCAATTTATTTCTGTGGCAGTGTTCATAGAAATAGACGATCTAATTTCTTAGACATTGATGCTGTGACAGTAATGGAGCGAAATGAATCGTACGCGATTTTGCAATGTAACATAAAACGTAAAGTATCGTGTATGAATTAATTATTAATAAAACGAAAGAAGGTTTTGGGACAACCGAATATTATCGTGAAGCGGGACAGTCGTCGTGTCACGTAATTAGGACGATATTAAAACGTATCCTTACAGTTGACAGATCCTCGTGACGCTCACCGGGTCTGGTCATGCAATCGATATTATCGGCGATCGCTTTGCCAAAGACGACCAGCTCCAGAAGACTGTTCGCGCCTAGTCGATTGGCGCCATGAACGGATGCACACGCAGTTTCACCCGCCGCCCAGAGTCCTTCGATCACATGATCTTCCTCTTTCTCTCGCGTGATAACCTTGTCAGGAGAACGATCGGTGATTCACACGTTGACGCGTAGTCATTTAGGTAACTTGTCGTCTCGTTTTTTGTTTTTTTTTTTTTTTTGTAAGAGCAGTCTCTCGATTGTGTAACGCGCGGCGCAGAACGCAATTACTCACTTTATTGAAAAGAAGACAGGTAAATACCGAGGAGATTAGATAATATCAGAGAAATTCATATTTGAAGTCGTGTTAGATCAAACGAATGTTCAGTTTTAAAGAAATAATTCTACTTTTACTCTAGATGACATTCAAACGAAACGTCGAAAGTTTCAAAGATTCGTAAAAGGAAAGTCGTTTGCCCGGAAGCAACGAAGTAAATGATTAATTCGCATCTCAGAAATCAAAAAAAGAAAAAAAGAGAAACAACTGACGACATGCGGGCAGTCGAATGCCACTGTGGCGTTATTACCGACGATGAGTCAAACATTTAGAGAGTTAGATGTTCATTGCCAGCCCCGTGGGCATTACAATTTACAATTGACCGTTCAATGCCCTTTATGGCGCACGTTATCACAGAACAAAGCACATCCTTTCTTTATTAAAATAGAAATACGAGAGATGTCAATTCGTCAACGATTTAACGATACTTGATGTAATTTTATCGATCTCGGAATAAATCTTATTCGAGTGTCTTAATATTGTTTTGCGAAATACGTTACGCAAGCGGGGACTACGATCTCACAGCTCACCTGTGCGCGCCAATTTGTAGGTATACCTCCCATATTGTAATGTACCGTCGGGATAACAGGAATCGGTTCTTTCTCCACGTTAACGCCAGCAAACACCCAGGACAAATGTGATATCCCTGGTAGTTTCGTCCGTATAGTCTCCACTGGCAGATGATCCAGTTGAAGGTGGACGTGATCTTTCTTAACGCCAACGCCTCTAGATTATAACGAACAGAATGAATTTTACAGTCGCGTCGATACAAGGAACGAAAGTTGAATAAAAGTTCTACTTCTCCATTTCATTTTCTGAAGGGAATTTAACTTAAATCGTTGAAAAAGTCGTTTAGAGGCGATCTTAATTGAAAAATTTCAGTAGCTTTCGATCGTTACTCCACATTCGAGGCTATAACTCTAACATTTATAGAGATTTCTTTTTCAAACTTTGACACACAACATTCTCGAAATACGTATCGATGATTTCGAATGACGACGCAAAGAAAATCGATTTTATTGTTTTGACAATATTGCGCTTCTTTAAGAACATCGTCGAATGCAGCTATGAATTTAACGCATCCAAGATGATTAATATTCCATGGAAACTGCATCACCTTCCCTCGAATATTTCTATGGTTATAGCTCTCGACACGATATCGCGAGACGCTAGATCCTTCGCGTTTGGCGCGTATCGTTCCATGAAGTATTCCCCTTCGGAATTCAATAGCTTTCCACCTTCCCCTCGGCTGCCCTCCGTTATCAGAATACCACTCCCGTATATGCCTAACGGAAAAGTCGACGGATTAAGCGACGAAAGCATTTTGCACGCGGTTATTTTGCTCCCTTTACGATGTAATTACCGGTTGGATGGAACTGGATGAACTCCATGTCTTGGAGGGGTAATCCTGCTCTAGATGCCATCGCCATGCCGTCGCCGGTGCATGCGTGTGCAGCGGTGCAGGACAAAAAACACCTTCCTGCTCCACCTGTTGCCAACACCTAAGAAAAAAACAGTTAACATCGTAGCTAAATGTTACACATAATCTTATGGAATTAATTTTGTTATAATACGTCTTTGGTCCACCGCGTGGACTCGGATATAATATTTAATGGGGTGAAATGTATTCCTTTTTAACCGACTTCGAAAAGAAGGAGGTTACTCAATTCGACATGTATACAGGGTGTCCCAAAACTCGGGAAGGAGCCGGAAATGGGGGGTAGCTGAGACGATTCTGAACAACAATTTCCTTTGCAAAAATGTCGGATGGGGCTTCGTTAAGGAGATATTAAGCGAAAACCCCGACCAATCAGAGCGCGCGTAGACCGTTCGAGCGGCCGCGGTAGCGTAGGCTACGCGCTGGTGGCCGCGCTTGCGCACGCGAACAAGTGACTCGACGTGCATCGTAGGATATTGACGCGGCCGCTCAGCGCGTAGCCTTCGCTACCGCGGCCGCTCCAACGGTCTACGCGCGCTCTGATTGGTCGGGGTTTTCGCTTAATATCTCCTTAACGAAGCCCCATCCGACATTTTTGCAAAGGAAATTGTTGTTCAGAATCGTCTCAGCTACCCCCCATTTCCAGCTCCTCCCCGAGTTTTGGGACACCCTGTATATATATATATATATATATATATATATATATATATTTTTATTTTTTTTTTATTCCACTCTGTGAGTCACGCGATGAGCACATGAGTGTTTGTGCGATTATTAGACTGCGGATCTTCATGCATTTATAGGAAATATGAATGCGCAAGAACCTACGAAATGCAAACAATATGGAAGAATATAAAACAGATCGAAAGTAGAGTTCACGTTATGATATTTCGAGAATAAAATAAATTCCTATTCGGGTTCAATTTTTGTTGGCACGTTCGCGAAGATTTTATTTTGCACAAAGATCCGGAGTGATTACTATTGCTACTTAAATTGTAGTACACTTATTGGAAATGGGACACAAGTGAATAATAAAATACCGAATTTATAGATAACTTTAGCTTTATTTACTAAATTGTCACGAGCAAATCGTAGAAAGAATTTCTAGCTCTGTGCAGCGTAATTTTAACACGTCTGTTTGGTCTTTAGTAAACTACAGGAAGTGTCCTCTCAGGCACTTGAGAGGGTAGGCTATAGCCTAAACGAAAACTTTCTCTTTCGTTATTCTGCAGTGGCTGATATACCATTGTGCATTTATTCTCGGTACATTTATTTTTGTAGCAAAATGACACGTTGCTGTTTAGTAAATATTCCAACAATACTCTACAATGTATTGTACAATATTATCATTAGGTTGTCCGAAAAGTTTCTTCCGTTTCATTAATAGGTAATACATACACAATATTTTACGTCTAATGTTGCATTATTGAATTGCGTACGATTCATTTTGCTCCATTGCTGTTACAACATTAACATCTAAGAAATTAGGATGTCTATTTATTATAAACACCGCTTACCGTATGGTGAGCCCTGAAACGATGGAGAAGTCCAGTTTCCAGTTCCCACGCCAGGACGCCCTTGCAGCACCGTCCGTGCATAAGAAGATCAAGGGCAAAGTACTCCACGTAATAGTGCACCTCGTACCGTAGACTTTGCCCATATAAAGTGTGCAACAGCGAGTGACCGGTTCTATCCGCGACGGCGCAAGTTCTGTGAGCTTGGCCACCCTTGCCAAATTTCAACGATTGACCGCCAAACGCTCGCTGATAGATCCTTCCATCGTCCGTGCGACTAAAAGGGCAACCTGCAAATTCGAGAATCTTTTAATCCTGGCTAACTTGCGCAAGACCATAGTGTCTCAATTATTGAGACATTAGAGTTCATTAGAGTACTGTATCATGATAGCAGGGTTGCGAGTGATTTATTACTTTTCAAATTAATTTTCGTCTTTAATTGACGACCAATTACAAACAATGCAATTAAAAATTATTTAATCAAAATTGAATTAAGCAGAATTAATCGAAAGTCGTTTAATTGACGATTGATACGAGCAAATTTAATCGAAGGTATTTCGTTGACGATTACTTTAAGCAGAATTAATTCAAAGCCATTTAATTGACGATTGATTTAAGCAGAATTAATCCAAGCTATTCAATTGACGATTTGTTTGTATCCTCGATGTTAAAAGACATTTATATAAAATTTAATTAATTGTATAACTTCATTAATGGAAAATGTTTCTCAAAATGACGAAACAAAATTACTTATACCACTATGATTATCACTCTTTTAAATAATACAAAACATTATATTGATATTATTGATATTATAACATTAATTGATATAACGGTAGTTATCCTTCAATCTACAGAAAATCCTGCAAAGGTCCATAAATATTTAATTACCAAAGACAAACTGTCGAGTTACACAAATCTATATAATTTATTTACAAGACGAAATTAAAGTGAAGCTCTGGAAACTCTAGTCAATCAATCGAAATTAAGAATTACCATAATTCTCCAGCTCGAAGACTGCGCGTGGCGCTTCCCTGGTCATAAAGTGTATCGCATCCTGATCACCTAGCCAGTCAGATCCTTTAACCGTATCGTACATGTGGTACAGCCAGTTATCCTCCTTTTCGGTATCGATGGCGGCATTTATACCTCCTTGGGCAGCCACCGTGTGAGATCTCGTCGGAAATAATTTTGTGACCACTGCCACTCTGTACCCCTTACTTCCTATTCGATCGCGTAAACAAGTAAAAACGAGATTGAATAGTAGCAAAATAGCAGGGAACATTTTAATTCGATGGTGTAAAAGAGTAAAAATAAAATTGCGGACTGTTTCGTAATCACTAATTGTAAGATTTGAATTAGTCTAAAATTAGACTAATCATTAGTAGAGTAATTACTAGTAAGATTAGACTAATTGTAAGATATTTTCTATTCGATGACGTAAAAGAGTAAAGTATTGTAGTAGGGCATCTTATTTCTATAGTTTCCGGTGAATTCGAACGATTAAATTATTATTTCGAATTATTTTTTATTCAAAATGATTAGACTTGGTTTTCATTTCGTATTATTACACGTATATCTCTTTCGACGAAATAGCACAAATTCGATCCGAACACATTAATGCTTGAATGCCTTAATATTTTAATATAATATAATCTTAATATAATATTTGGCATTTTAATTAATGAAATTTACCTAAACCAAACGCTGCTCTTAATCCCGCACCTCCAGCGCCTACAATCACGACATCGTAACAATGATCTATCATGGGATAGTTCTGCAAGAAATGTTTCACATTTTTGGCACAGTTTAGAAAGGATGTTAACAACCTAAAGATTTATTATTATCGTTATTGTATTGTCTCAAAAGTTTCTTTCGCGACTTACACTCTGTTGTTTCGTCTACAAGCGTTTATATGTATAAATAAACAATGTTAGTACTCAGAAGTTTATGTTATCCTTTTATCGTTTAAGTATATCAAAGCAAAGATGGTATTTGATGTTGCATTGTTAAAAAAAAAAAAAAAAAAAAAGGCAACACTGGCAACGATACTGTAAACAAAATTCGCACCGTTTATAGGAGTTGTTCCACAAGTGTTAAAACAGTTCGTAGTTTGTTTAGAATGTTCAGTGCTGGTTATTTTGAACTCGAAGACGAAGACTGCAGTTGAATAAATCATGATATAAAAATGTTCACGGATGGATATCTTGCTAGCAAATCAATTTTGGAAAGATGGTCGCTGTTATGCCGCCTTGAAAGAGGTGAAAGAAGGTAATAGATCGAAATGGATCGTGTATGCAGCTCGTTGTCGGTGATGTCAGTAATATCACAAAACAAAAATCATTTATTATATTTACAAAGAAAATCCATACAATTTTTCACATTCCCTCAATCACACATTTCAAAAGAGCACATATGTACATACGTATAGTTGTAAAAAGAAAATGTCGAAGCAGTTCGCGTGTTTCATTATCACGAAGTAAATATGTAAATTTAAACTACAGTCACAAATGATATGCGTTATTAATTTCTATTGTACAACTATCAATTCCAAGTACATTTATATAACATTCAAAATTTCGTAACTATTAAAGTTGGTGTATAGGTAGATTGTAACGTCCATCGGGTCGAGATTCAGTGGATCCGTCGTAACGAACACGAGTTTGAGGATTTAAAAGTTTGGCATTACAACGTAAGACAAAATGACGAGTAAATATCTGTACTTGAACTAGAGTTATAAATGTGCGATTCTGATAGGCACAGAATCAATTTCTACACCTAATACTTACTAACAAAACGAAAGAAACTTTTAGGACAAGCTAACGTTTGCAGTGAAACTTTACATTGTCACCGTTCTCTAGGCCACATTTCGCTTTCTCGCCAGGACTGACGTTTACGTGTATGCTCCGCGAACCTTTCCTGTCTAAGCGTTGAGGTTGTGAGACTAACCGTCGCGTCAACGAGGCATTGAAATTTCTGTCGAGCGACAGCAGCTTCCGATAATCGTTGTTCTTTAGGAGATTTCGTGGCAAACGATGTATGGTTCGTAACATTTCAAACACCCAAACTGTTACTGAAAATTGCGTTCACCTCGGAAGCCATTACATTCCCAGAACCTTGACCCTCGTTTGTTAAAAGAAGTAAGAACCAAACACGCTACTTTCAGAGGGTAAGGAGCGGAGGACACGGACACAGTTGGTGCTTCGCAATTGTCGTAATCGGTAATGGGTCGACACGATACAGTATTGTCTCGAAATATGCAACTACTTTCTCTCTCTATGCACATCTTTATGTACATACGTTAGAGTAACGTGATTGGCTACTTAAAATATTTATTTATAAAGACTTGGTTTTGGATGTAGTAGCAGTTGGATTTAGTAACAGTATGCAGGAATTAATGTCAGTCTAGATTGAAATATACTAACGTAGAATATTCTTTTTCGAATTGCAGACTGTTTTTAAATACGCTCTCAACATTAACAAATAATTGTATCATATATTAGGTGACGTATATATAGTACATTGAAAATTAAATGTAAAATTTCTTCTTTTTTCTTCTACTTTCTTCTTTTTTATTTACTGAAATACGCTGATCAGGAGCTACAACATCGTACAAGATAGACGTTTCTAACACGAATTGAAAAGACCAAGGGATTTAGTATTAATGGTATGGTATCGAAAAGTAATTCTAGCCCTGCCTGCTTCGTAAACATTACTTCGGTCCACTTTGTTGCAATCGAGTCGTGCAAAACGCTACACTTTGTGCGTTCTTGTGTACGACTGTACGTACAATGACATATGCTACGTGTGAAGATGTGTTAAGCAATCGGTAACCACCAAGTATTTGCTTGCATTTCGTACAAGCATAATTTTATTGCACTTGCAAAAATACAGTTCGAAACATAGACGATTTATTGTTACATATGTATATTACGATAGTATACAATTAATTGGACTTTACTCGATGGCTTAGTTTCTATGGGTTCTCTCTTTGGTATTCTTTAGACACCAGAGAATTAATCTGCCTTCCTTAGATCGTATTTGCCTTAACGAACATTTTTCAACACTTTATCTACCAGCCTATTTCGAGACGGTCTACAATTTAAACAAGAACTGAGCTCTGATAGATCACTAACATATCCAATTGCAGAATTATGAAGGAGGTATGTAGATAAATATAAATGTAAAGGAATGTAGAGCAAGAGTTACTTTAAAGGCTTAATAATATTAAGTTAATATACCTATATATAAAACTATACGGCAGATTCGTAGCAATTTCACTCTCGTTTAATACATGTATTATCTGTTAGATTCGTTTAAAAAGATGAGTGTCGGGCGAGTCATTCGCTACTTCTACTTTTATTTTTCAGTAAAGCGTTTAATTAAGGACCATTTGTTAACATGGCACGGTAAATTGTACCACGGAATTGCCTATTTCTAACAGGTATCTCTAAACTTACGGTATAATTATTTGGTTCTACACACGTAAACAGTGATTGGAATATATCGCGTGTCCGATTTCTTCTCCCTTCTTTCTTCCTTGTGCTCACTTATATAAATAACTTGTAAAACGGTTACACTAGGGATTTCATATAAAAGAAGACGACTACCAACGTGTTGATCGTTCACTGGAACACGTAAAAATACGCAAACGAAGAGATCGACAATGAACAAAATGACAGAGAACATCGCTGACCATTTATTTCCGCTTGTGAAGCGCGATTCTCTCGTGTATTGTTGGGAGGCGAAGAGAAAATTGGTCAGAAAATCGAACTCTTTCCAGTTCGGACTCTTTCAGAAGAAGGCGTAAAGAATACAGAGAATAATCGGTATTTTACTCGAATAATCGAGTTTGTCGTGATAGCGATTACACGCTTAGAAATTCTCATCGATACTAAATTAATCTACCTGACCAAAATTGTGATCGTTGAGTCCGATATCTATTTATTCTTTTTAATTCTTTAGTACAATAAGGAAGGTATAAAAAGATGTAGTTTATACATGGGTCAGGTCTCTCCAACTCCCAGCAGTAGATATATGTATGTATAAAATTTAAGAAACGCAAACGTGATATTTCGCATCGGTAACGGTGACTACACTTATTGTAAATCAAATGGAATTTAATTAAAATATATCCGTCCATTATTTTCAGGCAAATGTGCGCTGTATACAGGTTGTTGAAAAAGGTTTTTACGAGTGTATGGTAGTTTCTAGAGGGAACGACAGCTTAAACGTTACATATTACGCCAGTCGAGCAACGATACAATTTTCGCAGTTCACTCGTTCACTGACGATTTTAGAAAGATTCGAAAAGACAAAATCAACGAACTACGGTCAAACTTTAATTTTTAAGAGTTATTTCAAAGCGTAGCGCCGTTAAAAATAACATACGCTTCTTGTTGAGTTAGATTCATGGAAAGGAAGTTTTAAAGTGAAATCCTTGCATTGATTATAGTTTAATGAAATTGTAAATTTTTAAGAGTTATTTCAAAGCGTAGCGCCGTTAAAAATAACATACGCTTCTTGTCGAGTTAGATTCATAGAAAGGAAGTTTTAAAGTGAAATCCTTGCATTGATTATAGTTTGATGGAATTATATAAACCGACATTATACGTATCATAGAATAAATATATAATCAACTGTCGATTATATTCTCGATTCTATCATCTGCAATTGACATTCGTTTCTCTCGTGTTCCGTAATACTGAGAATTTCATTCCTCTGCTTATCTTTGTTACAACTCTGAATGGCCGGAGTAATGACTAGAGTACATTGGTGTTTTAACTTTTAGCGTGCCTCGCTTCGGGATGCAAGAATAGAATCTTGTTTTTTTTTAATATTCGTTTAAATATATTTAAAATAATTTTTTTTTCAATTCCTTCGTGCCGACACTTTTCCATCCACGCTCACAAAGAGACCTACGTACACGATAAATACTTGTGTCTCATTCAAGATCGATTACACTAGTTTCCAGCCAGAATGTAAATTCGATGCCACAATTTTTTTTTCTTGTATATTTCGGCCTACCGAACTCGAAAATCGCAATGAACGAATTTTTCTATGGTTAGGTTTTTTTTTTATATGAACTTTCGAATTTTCTTTTTCGATTTTTTTCTGAGATTCCTTCACATTTTAGTGGTACATATCACGAGGTACAAACACTCGATTGGGTCGCGCAAGATGCCATATCGAAGGTAATCGGATTTACAATTGTTTTTTTAACGATAATTGTTTAAAAATTCGAATGAAAATTCAAAAATTCATATAACAAAAAAACGTATTCATAGAAAAACTTTTCATTGCGATTTTCGAGCTTAGCAGACAAAAATTGTGGCATCGAATGTACATATTTTATTTTTATTTCGTAAACTAGCGTTATTTTTAATATTATTTTGTGTATAAGGTAAACGCACCAGTTGTAGAGGTCGAGCCAGTAGCGGACAATTTTCGAAAAACAGAACGTGAAACGTTAGCAGCGTTACTTGTAATAAAATACAATCTGGAAACAGGTTCGTTGATTGTCCGTTTTCGATATTATATGAAAAAAGTTTGTGCGTCTATCTAATTATTCTCTTTATTATTTAATCTTGAAAAAAAGCCCACGATGGAAGTAAATCTCGCCATTATTTTTCTGATGCGTTTATGCATCCATCTAATTACTCTTATTGTTCTTTTAACTTTTCATTCTTAACGTTTTCCCAACTGTAAACTACTGTTTTTGTTCTTTCGATAGGTCAGCTGCTAAAACAATCTCCCAGTTTTAGAGAAAAGTGAAACCTTGAAAAATGATGATATTAACTATCTAGGTAGACAAAGACGACATTGTCTGCTCCAATGCTTTGGTACAGTAATCGAATAATCCTTGTTGGGAAATGTAATATCTGAGAGAAGAAAAAGTCGAAGGTGTTCGCTATTGGTGCTTTCATCTTATTTAATGTATTTTTCTAACCGCGAGCTAAAAAAAAACTGTGTCATGGACTATTGTGCTTTTTATCTTGCCACAGTACCGAAGGACAATTCAAATCATCCATAGATGTCTGATCGATACTTGAAGTCGTTGCTTAGTGTTGTCGAGGATCCTCAAAGGACGAGTCTCCTAATGCCGCACTCGCAACAGAATTTCGCTGTTTCAGGGAACTTGGAACCGCATTCGTGGCAAAACTTGGACATTTTGCATTTAGGCGTCGACGTGACTCCGTCGCCGTCGCGACGATTGTGCCTTGGCAAGTCTTCGTCCAGGCGTCCAGCCACGTCGTTGGTGCTGCGTCCGTGGTGCGAATATTTTCGATTTAAACTGAGGGGAACAAATTGAATGGGATTTTAGGCAGAGATGGGCAAAACAGTAGGCTTCGAATAAATCTGAGGTGTGTCGATGTGTTTGTCTCGTTTTCTCTTTTGAACATTTTCCAAATAGAACCTTACAGAAACCGCTTCAAAATAATACTTCTTGTATTTATTTTATGAATAAATTTTAGGGAAAGAAATAATTCACCAACCATTCCTACATATTTTTAGAGTATATAGTAAAATTCAAATGTGCCATTGAATTTTTCTTAAAAATTGAAATTAACTTTCTGGACAACCGAATAATATATACAGGGTGTCCCAAAAATGTTGTAACACCTTGAAATGGGTGATTCGGGAGGTGATTTGAAACAACTTTTTCCTTAGCAAAAATGTTGTCCGAGGCTTCGTTGAGGAGATATTAACGGAAAACACTGACCAATCAGAGCGCGCGTATACCGTTGGAGCGGTCGCGGTAGGCGTGGCTACGCGCTAGGCGGCCGCGCTCATACGCTACCACGGCCGCTCCGACGGTATACGCGCGCTCTGATTGGTCGACGTTTGTCCGTTAATATCTCCTCAACGAAGCCTCGGACAACATTTTCGCTAAGGAAAAAGTTGTTTCAAATCACCTGGCCGATCACCCACTTCAAGGTTTTACAACATTTTTAGGACACCCTGTATAGTAAAACTCAAATGTGCCTTTGTATTTTTCTGAAAAATTGCCACGAACTTTCTGGACAACCGAATAATATATAACCTGCTATATGCCGAGTCCCCACTGAGTTTGCTGTGGTCCTGCCTCTTGTAACTCTCGGGTGAAGAGAGGTCCTCGTCGCTGGTCTGATCGCTGCGACGTCTGCCGTGTACGGAGCTAGAGACGGACAAGGAATCATCCTTTAGGAGGGACTTCAGGGAAGGAAAAGAGCCGTTCTCGTCCTCGAACGAGGTCATCAGCTCGTCGAACACAGAGTTCGAACGCTTGATGTCCACGTCGGAGGACACTATGGAGCTAAGACTAAGGTTGCTCCTCGATAGGTTCACGTAATTGTTATTTCTATTATTCAAGCTGGCGTTCGAGGACCTCCGACTGTCGTTACTATTACGAGACAATTCCTTGGAATCCTGAGAGCTGTCGGAGGTTTTCCTGTCCGGAGTGCTTTTAGGAGCAGAGGCAGCACGGACGGAGAAAGAACGACCGACGGCAGGTTGAGTATGAACAACCGTGGCGTTGTCGAGGATTTTACGAGATCTGTCCGTGTTAGAAACGAAACTTCTGGCACCAGGTGATGCGTCGTCTACCACGTCTCCTCCTAAAGCTTTCGATTTATCGATAATCACTCGTCTGCCCAGCTCTCTGGCCGGCGATCTCTTTTCCCCGTCCGGTTTCGTGCCAGGCGCCTTCGACTCTTGCTTGCTGTCATTGAGGAAAACCTCGCGCGACAGCGAGTTGGTCTCGGTCGAGTCGCTCGAGAAATCAGAGACGAGGTCGTCGAATTCCGTGGGCGGTGCTATCACGGACGATCGTTTTTCTGGGTTAGACAGAGACTGTTGTTGGTAGGGATACTTGACGAAAGCGGAGGAGTGAGACAGGGGAAAGAAGGTTTCGCGGTTTTGCTCAATTGGCGGACTGTCCGTCGCGGATTGCTCGCTAACGTCAGAGAGCAGCTCGTTCATCTGCTGCTCTGCCAGCAGGAAGGGATCGTAATCCTTACCGCTGAAAGCAGGAAGAAGCGTTTAATACGACGAGCAATCGAACGTATTTATTAAAAGTATTTATTAAATGTCCTCCTAGGGTTAAACGTGCTGTAGCAGAACCAGGCTGGTGATAAAAGAAAATTTGCTGAACAAGATCATCTCTCACCTCGTGCGTAGATTAAGGGACGAGTGTGGTCCAGCTAATGTATTTTTCTGATCCGTATAATTTCCAGGTGTAATTAATTATTGTTATTGAAACTGTTTCTTACATAAAGGGACGTTCAACGAAGAAAATTTGACAGCGTAGATTTAATTTGAATGTATACATACGTACAGATATATGTAGTAGTCGCAAGGAAAGGATTCAGTAAAAACGATGGGATAGAGGAGATGAGTGGAGCCCTGGGAAAACGTCTGATAGATAAAATCAGAAAATTTCTTTCTTTAGTAGGTACGTAAAATGCGTATGTACCTTAATTTGCAAAAAAAAGAAAATTGTTAATTGCAAAAATGGCGGCAAATCACACGAAGATGAACGATACATGTCGACCGTTATTTTGCAATGACTTTATGCTATAATAATAATTCATTAAGAGTCGAGGTTCGTTAGTATATAAACTTAATTACCTTCAATTTAAGCATTGAATCAAGTGCCACCGTTTAGACCGAATCCTTTCCTTGCGACTACTATGTATACATTTAATGTAGACATGTATATATACATTTAAATTAAATGTACACTGTCAAATTTTCTTCTTTGAACGTCCCTTTATATGTAAAGAAAAGCTTTAATAACAAAAATTAATTATATCTGGAAACGATATGCATTAGAAAAATACATTAGCTGGACCAGACCTTTCCCTCTTAATTTTATCAACAAACGCGTCAATTTCTCGGACGAAACTGTTGACACTATCCTAGAGAACGATCGATGAACCGCAACGATAAACACGTAGCGAGATATAATGATGCGTACACAGAAAAATCGGATAAGCCTTTCAGCGTCGGGCAAACATAGAAGCAAATCTTTGCACGATGCTACGGATAAATTCGCGTGGCTATAATACATGCGATGGAAGAATACGCCGACGAACGTGCCAAGATTAAATTTGCGGTTCGAATGGCTGAATATATTTCGAGAAAGTCCAATTTCAATCTTTCATCGATACACAGTGTGATGACTATATGGCCGTTTAGAACAAAATTCTTAATTTTCAAAGTAACGAACGATTTTGATTTAACTATAGGACGAAAGCCACGTTCCTTGATACATACAAAACTATACATACAAGATGCGACCGAATGACATGTACCAGCGGACACGAGGTGGTTCCTTGTGAAAAAAATTAAGAACAAAATATGGAATAAAATTTTTTTATTTTAAAATTTTACCTCGAAGGTATTGGAATATTAAAATCAACTTGTAACAAATATTGTATCAGTGGCACGTGTTTGAATAAAATTCATAGATATTTTCTGAAATTTTATGACATTCAACAAACGGAAATTTCAACAATAAAATGGCGTATCAAGTAAAAACGATCGATAATATTGAAAACTACATTCTTTTACTAATATTTCGAGAATGAACATTGTCCATCAAGCGACACACTGTGCGATGGATAGCTCTCGCGTGACGAAATGAAACGATTTCCTTGTTTGTTTGTTTGGTTTTTTTTTTTTTCTTTTGTTGCGAAAAACCAGAAATCTGACTTGGCAATTCGTTGAACCGCCTGAACCACTTACGTTCTACCGCTAAGTACAAGGTTAAAATCTGGTCTTCTGCGCACGTAATTGCTCCATACGGGACGTAATGGCAGTATCAAATTCCTACAATGTTGTACTTGTATTAGCATCTCTAACAAGGGAGCACAGTGACTGTTATTTCTATGGAATTTTGCGCGAAAGCGCGAGAGGGAAACTGTTGTTCGCATAAGAGCCACCCCGTTTATTCGTGACTGCATCATTTCTAAATTACAGATGATATTGAAAAATGTTTCGAATGAAAGTTGCGCTATTTTTTTGTAACACGTAAATTACTAGAAAAAAAGATGTTGTTTTCTCCTAGTAATTCACCTAGTAATTTGATCTACTTGTACTAATTTTCCTACTAATTTATTTATTATCGTTACAACTTGACATTTTTCCTCGGTCTCACGCACTGCAAGGGAGCATATACTATAATATTGTACGTGCAAGTATAAAGCCAAATATCGAAGCAATCTGTGTGTGTTCATTAGTACGAAGCCTGGCATTATTAATACAAGAAAAGTATGGCCAGTAAATATTTCGATTTAAATTAGTGTTACGAACGAATGAATGTAAAGGTATAGAATTAATTTCTGCAACTAAAATATCACTATAATTTGTCATTTCTACTTGTTTAGATTTTCAGAAGTAACGCAATCTTTGTTTGAAATATTTGTCAACATCCTTTTGCAATTTAGACATTATACAGGATGTCCCAAAAAATGTTGGAGTTGGATTCATAAATATGAATATGAATATGAATAAAAATGTGTAATAACTCGTTATACATATTTTAGAGTTTCGTATATGTGTTTATTAACACAACTGTAATGTTTTTTTTTTTATAATAATAACAACAACGCTTGTTTTACTTGCATAGATTACATAATTTTTGTAATTACCCATTTGGTTGGAGTGAAAACGATTCTGCGTGGGATAGTAAACGATGTAAGTAAGTGATTAACGTTGTTCAACGAAGAGTTAATTATAAATAAAAATGTGAATAACGCATGATACACAAATCCGCAATGATGCGAATTTATTCGTATTCATATTTATGAATATCTCTGTAACGCCATTTCAGTCCCGAGTTTTAGCATTTATAGAGACTTTACTGTATTAGGGTATTCGGATAACGAGGGTACGGATACGGGAGTCTCTGTTGTATCTCATCGTCAGTAACGGCGCGATCAATAATTGTTATTCTTTCTTTAATGGCTTAAAGTATCGGTTTCTATAACATATCATATTTTCAGCAACTTCCTAAATTGCATTTCGATTTAAATTCAAACAATTCGCATGAAAATCTGTACGTTCCATAAGAGTCTGCGTTAAAACTACAAAGTTGTCCGTCTAATCTGACTCAGGATGAAAAAAGGTTACCGACCACTGTTACAAAGGGTAACCATCGCTCTCTAATGATCTGCCAGCCCATTCCTACCTTGGCTGTATCAAGGACGAGGTACTGGGAACAGGTGGAAGTACACGAATATTCGGATGTCTCTTAAGAAACCTGCTCGCCCCCTGATACGGTGGATCGAGATTAATCAATCGATTCTTCGTGGCCTTGGACGCCTTCTCCCAATACGTCTGAGTATTAACGGTCTCTGCGTCGCCATAATTTTCCTTAACCACTACTCTCGATCCCTTGATCTCAGGTAATATCCTGAATCTGATGCTTCTATTCCTCGTGCCAAACTCTTCGATGGTCTCTACCTCGACTGCTTCGACTTGCTTAACGCCGGTAACCTCAGTCGCGTCGATGGCCGACAAACTATCACTCCTCTCCTTCAACTTATTCCTATTTCGATTTTCAAGGATTTCATTATCAACGTCCAATGCTTTTGATCGACGCGACTTTAAACTCGATCGACTCGTCGATGTATTCTTGAGCTTGACTCGAGGCTCTGATAACACGATCGACTTGAAATCTCGAACTTGGACGCTATCGTTTTTGCCTGAGAGAGGCTGAAATTTCACTGCGTCTCGCGAGACCTGTCCGTCGACGGTATCGTCGCTATCATAATCGAAAACGTTGGACACATGATTCTTGTAAATCTCTTGCACTTCGTTCGTTACAACGTCGCTCATTTCGAGGATCGAGTTTATGAAGGTGTTCGTAAAGGATCTGTTACCTAGACCGTCGGTTGTATCATGGTCTAGCTTGCAACTTTGATCAGTTTCCCCGTGGCTAACTTGCATTTGTGACGATTCTCCCATAATCATCTCACGTTTCTCTAGTTTATTAGAATTCTCATTCATGTCCTC